AAACCATTTCATCCGGTAGTCCGAAGAATGTGCTGTCAAACCGATTCAAATCCATTATCTTTCCCATTCTGTGGTTCATTCCATACAATTCTACGCAATAATAAAATTATAATTATGCTAAAATGGAAAGAGAGAGAGAGAGAGAGAGAGAGAGAGGAGAGAGAGAGAGAGAGAGAGCTGTAGTGTATACCTAATGGCCAGCGGGTGTTGTCTTCAGTAATCATATCAATTCCGGCAAAGAGATTGTCCGCAAACTCGTCGGTGTTGTCGGAGAGGGGGAACCGACCGCTCATTCCAGAGATCACTATATCATTGGATGACATTCTGTTCACGATTAAAAAATATACTGTTATTTGTTCAGTAATGTACACTTTAGGTAATAATCTAATCAAACTTAGTTTTCATTCAATATTTTAGTAAACTATAAATCAGTTGTTGTTGAATCTCCACCTTATATAGGTTTCATGATCATGATCATTAATACAGTTAATATATCTATTTAAATTAGGCCTGGCCAATCTTTTTTTAGTATATCACAGATACAGATTCACAGTATGCCATAAAAAGGTGGTGCAACGGTCAATAAAAAAGTTTAGGTTTATCAGTATTAAACAAGAAACACCGCGTGAAGGCCAACCTAATAGTTTCTCACTTATTTTTATAGTGGTTGGCTTTCAGTCTATCCATAAAATGTCATTCAAAACAAAATTTAATTATTAAATACACATTTTAATGAGATTTCTGATATTGTCTGATATTATCAACAAGTTTAATCATATTTGACTCAATCATATTCAATGACCATATTTTCAAACGTGATCTTAATGTTTTTCGCAAATACTACCAGTTTTGTCATTTTTAATCGATTTCATTAGGGAAAAAATTGTTCACAATTAAAAGTAGATCCAAAATATGCATTCATTTGTATGATTAATAATTCTTAATTTAATCATTAAAATATAATTTTAATATTGAGATGACATTTGGCTTTACTACTCTAACTTACTAATAGTAAGTACATTGGCCAGCAATAATTTAAATAAATATCGTTTTCAATGAGCTCGATATTAATAAAAACACATGGGTATACTAGGGTGACCACCAAAAATCCTCTTAAAAAAGGACGACTGGTATAAAATAGTCATTAAAAAAGGACAAAAAAAAGGACGCAAATTTTTTTAACCCTGTGCATTTTCCTTTGTTTTGTCACACATTTTAAATGAATATTTAAATGAAAACACTTTTAATAAACAAAATTATGTAATTTTTATAATAGTTTTCTGTTAACAATTACCACATTTTTAAATATATTTCTACTCTATTATTATTATTTACTGTTTATGTGCTGTAATGTCTAAACTT